TACGCTTGTGAGACTTGACTGTGTAGCTTACAACTTCCATTTTACACAGAAAAATGATTAGTGAACATTTTACTGAAAGGGTGTCCATGGAGTTAGAAACTACCATCAGCATAGCTGAAGAGGAAATGAGACTTGTATTTTGTGGATTTCTAGTGTGGTTGATATATTCTTAATAAGCAGGAAGAAAGATAATGATTCTGGGCACACATCATAAAATAAGCTGTATAGAACAGCTTATAGCACTGCTGGGGCTACATCAGGGTAAGTATAAAGCAAAGAGTGGGGAACTAAAAGATTCCCTTTTAATGTGGGGAACCAAGTGTGTTTGGCTGTCTTTGTGCTTATTCTGGTTCACAGCTGGCCAGAGCCTTGCGAGGCAGGCTGGTCTAACAAAACAGCTAGTGTTAGTTCTTTCAGCATCCTGCACCTTCTCTGTGACTTCGATAATGGTGATTTCCTTAGAGTAGGAAGAGCCAAGTGGTGGATTATTTCTTTTGTTTTCCTGTATAACTGGTCTGTCCTGCTTACTTACTCAATTAGTGCTTTTTTGACATTTGATAGGTCTTCGGTTGTTTTTCCTTCTAGTGCTGCTTGGAATTTAGAGAGGGGGCTTAGTGTACTTAGTGATCACCTGCCAGGATCTTCCAGATCTTCCCAGCTAATGCGCATACGTCTTGGTGAGCTTTACTGTGAGAGCCTCGAATTGAAATGAGGAGCTGTAGCCATTGCGTTGCATGTCTTAGCAACAGTTGCTACGTACGATTGCCTTTTCAGGCTTCACTGATACTGCTGGAGGAAATAAAAAACCTCTTCCAACTCCTACAACGGACATTTTCCTACTTAAAAAGTTTATCTTCATGCATTGCCTCCCTTTTTTTTTCACACTCCCCACACATTAGTACTGAAAGTTTTAAGAAAAAATATCTTTTGGCTGTTGCTCTCAGTGGCTTTCTGCTCTGCTGATGCCAAGTGTTCCTCTTTCTGTACAAGTTAATGTTTTACAGGCACTTAACCATGCTTGACACAAACATTGACTTCAAGTTTCTGGAGAGGAAACATCCATAAATGTTTTGCTGATTGTTTACTGGTATTTTCCAATGTTATTGCCTAGACAGATAGAAGAAAAATGAAGGTATGTGTAATTTCAGAAATGGGGGTGAAAAAAATGATGCCTCACTGAATTTTGCTAGGTATCACATTGCACTTCAGGAGTTAAGGCCTATGTTCATTTCAGTGCTTGCTATCTCACAAACTATGAAGCTGGTGACAAATGCCGCTTGTAGATGTGTGACTGTTGTGACCTCCTTTTCTAAAGGAGACCTACAACCTGCTTTGGGCTCTGACAACACTTAATGTCAAAATGGCATAATTTATAATATTCATTGTCAGTGTCAGCTGTTGCAGAACAAATGAGCATAAAAAAGAAAAGGTGTCTCCCTCTGTCCCAAAGATCTTGATAAGTGTGTGATGAGACAGGGAGACAAGAAATGAGAACAGGGAGGTGGTGGGGACATATGTTCTTATAAGCTGTGGTCACCACACACAGATTGACCAGTTGTTTCTGAGGCTTTTGTATGCATCCTACTAGAGGGGACTGGTGAAAAGGGCTTTGCGTGGATGTAATTCAGCTTTGGATTTTGGTAGGAGTTGCTCATAAATAGGAATAGGATGTGAGAAATTTGGAGGGATTGGAAGAGCTGGAGAGTGGAGATTTTTGATGTTGGCTGTGTGTGGGTCCAAGTCTACACTACAAACTTGGCAGGAACTTGGACCCACTTTTGGTATTGTTTCTTCACTAGTAGTAATACTAGCTTGAAGCACTTTTATGGCCATGAAACTTAACTATCCGGCCTGGAGAAGTACTGTCAATTATACTGCAGAGTGTTTCTCTTTGTTGTAGAGAGACCTTGACAGAGAAAAAGGGTTTGGAATGCAACTTCGTGTTGTCCAGATTTAAACCTGGCTGATGTGAAGGTCCATCTGTATGGTGAAGAGCTAAGATCTTGTTTTCAAGTGTTGTTCATTTATAATGCAGCTCTCTGTTGTTCTAAAAGTGGTGCCTGGCATGAAAAAATACGATACGTTGCAAGCAGGCATTGCTTAAAAAGAAGTTACTGTCTTCCTGACGGTGGCCCTTATCTTGAGCTGTGTTAGTCAATATGTGGACACTTGTAATTTGGGCTGCTGCAAAACTAGTCGCATTACCTTAAAAAAAAAAAAGCCTTTGGGGTTGGTTACATCAAGTCAGTGGATTACTGCAATCCAGCTCTAAGAACAAGAGAGTGCAGGATATTTGTGCCCTTAAACTGGCAGTGTGCCAAGATAATCACTGCAGCATGGCTTTGAATTACCATAAGGAGAGCAAGGTAGCATTTTTTTTTCCAGACACCACAAAATTGGACAATTTAGTGTTGAAGGGGAAGATAGTAAATGTTTGGATATCTGTCTGGGTGAAATAGGAATTGGAATTGAAGGAGGTTGCAATATGTAAATGTTTGAGCAGAGAAATGTAAAACAACTGTTTGTTTCAGTGGTGTTAGCTCATATAAATTAGTTTAGATATAGAAGATAAGTTAAAAAACAAAACTATCTGTAGAGACTAAGAGGGAACCTGATCAAGGGGAATTGTTTTTTGCCTACTGTTTCAGAACAGAAGAGTTGCCACACTTGACTTGTGTTGTATTGTAATTCATACTGAGCAGTCTTATTTTCATAGTTATTTATGATTGAAATTTCTGGTTTTAAAGCTGTTAATTTAGTAACATTGCAAGAACTGAATTTTCTCTTTTTAATGTTTTTACCTTCTTTTAAACTTCTACTGGTCACTAACACCTGTATTTTGATTATATGAAGAGAGAAGTGAATAGGTTTGTCGTTGCATGCGGGGAATAATTACTAAAGGATACTGGATTGAGTTTAAAGAGCTGAAGACAGATTTGGTTTTGAAGGTTCATTTAAAAACAAATGAACACAAAAAACAGTTGATCCTTGGCATTGTACTTGGTCAAAGAGTTCAGTGCAAATAGTCAGGAGAATGACTGGATGTATGGCATCTTAGTGTTCACCAGTTCAGACTGTAAGGCTGGAAGACCTGGATTGCTCAACCTCCTGTATTTTGCAGACCATTGAACTGCAGCCAGCTTCCCCATGTGTTGAGCACAACTTTTACTGGCCCACTTGTTTGACTTACAAAAGTCATTAAAATGTGTGGAAAAGACACTAATTCCAGGTGTGCATTCTCTGTTGGCCTGTAGCCACAGGATGGGGGAGTGAGGGTTAAGTGTTTCTGAAGGTACATGCTTCCAGTTTACAGATGACAAGACATCTGGATGTCTGAATAGAGCAGATAAGCTTTGCATTTCTTTGGCAAACAAATGGAAGATTTAATATTTTTAAGTAGCAAAATTGTAATTTGCAAACTAAGCTACCCAAGAGTAATTTGTGATTTGATAGGCTAAAGTGAGGATACTTGGTGAGAGAAATGTGTGGAGCACTGGTTTTCTCTTGGAAGGTGCATGTGTTCTTAGGTACACAGTGTAACCTGCTTCAATGACTTCTGGGGTATTTAATGTGCCAGTTGAGATAATTGATGGTGTATTACACCTGACTTCCCTCTTCTGCTCTGGGTGGCTGCTGCCGTCCTGCCTTGTGCTGACTTGAGGTTTACTCCTATTTTCAAAGTGCATTTGCAGGCTCAGTGTGGGTAGATAAGCTTGTGGCCTGCAAGGCAAGTAGAGATCTGGCAGATGTTGTCCTCCTCATTACCATTGCACCTCAATTTCATGCGTTTCTGGGGACCTCCTGTCTCAAGGATGACCTTCCTTGTCAACATTTTCCAGTGATTTATCTCGTGCTTGATCTGTTTTCCTCGGGTCATCCTTACCTCAACAGTGAGAAAACGGGAAGAGTATTTAGTACATTGTGTTTTTTTATTATTGATGCATGTTGATATTTATTCATTTTTCTCATGTTAAAATGGAAAGTAGAAAAAAGTATTTTTGCATCTTCTATAAAAACCCCCCCCCCCCCAATCCTACCTAAGTGGTTGCTTCAGAAACCTTTCATTTCAGTAAGAATTATTTAATGTAGTCATCTTCTTTCCAGATGATGACTTTGATCAGTTTGATAAGCCTGGTGCAGAAAGGTCTTGGAGAAGAAGAGCTGGAGATGACGACTGGGACAGGTAGGTAGAATCTTTTCATGTTCTATTTCTGTGTGCTGAATTACATTGCTCCGTTTTCCCATTCTGGCATTCTATAGTCTAACACCTAGAGTAGCGCACATTTAGATACTAATGAAGATGTTGGTTGTTATGCATGTGTCAGCCAATGCTAGATTGTGCCAAACATACTTGCCGTGAGGAATATAGAGAGCGCTATGAAGAGACGCCATTTAAAATTGGACAACTACAAAATATTTGTGGTGTGTAATTAACTTTGCAATTAATGTCCTGGTTTTCCTTTTAAATATTTAGTAGATCTTAGTGGTTTAGCTAGTTAGATGTTTGCTACTGCTTGAATTTGCCCAACAACTTTTATTTTTTAACTAGATGTTTAAATTCTTATGCTCCAAGTCCTAGTTCAGTTTTACATTGTAGGAGAGTAGTGGAGCCTAGGTGTGCGCTTCTCTTGAAAAAATCACTGTTGTAAAGGTTTAGAAGTATGTATAAACTTGGTTATTTTGGGGCAGAATAAAAGTGTGTTTAGAAGGCATTCTAGCTGGGAAAGACTTGAATCAAGCTGCTTGCTAGACTTGCCTGTTCTTTGTGGAAGAAAACTTTTCACTTTTTTTGTGGGGTTGCTTTTTGTTATTATTCCTGTTTAGTAACAGAGAGACTTGTTCAGACTTTACCAGTGGTTTTCACTGTGAAAAGAGGAAAAAACCATTCCAAATAGATTTTTGTCTGGTAATCATTCAAGTGATTGTAGTAAATGAATTTTACCCTAAGTAGTTTTCTACTGAGCTGAGCCCTTGGAGTGAATCAGCTACTCTACAGTTGTCGTCGTTCCAGAAGGATTAGTTTCCTCTTCCGTGCTTTTGTGCTAGGTTAAGTGGGTGGTTTTCATTGCTCTAGGAGGTGAGTAAGAGTGAATAAGGAATTTGGACAATAGCTTCAGTATACCGGATGTTGTGCTGTATGCTGGTGAGGGGTATCTGCTTGCTGTCATGCTGGCACAGCTGTTTGTGGGTTGGATGATGAACTGCATCAAGGAACTGATCTGGTTTGAGAGTGTAATTAAAATAACTTGCTCAGGCTGGGTCACTGTACTGTGCTGTCTCCCAGTCCCAGCTCTGGGTATGCAGAAATACTGAAGCCAATATTACAGGCAAAATGCTTTTTTTTTTTCTTAGACTATTTTCTGAATTTTTTGCATTTGCTGACTTCATGATATGAATAGGTGGGCTCTTAGATGCTGGCTGATCCCATTTGTTTTTAGCTGTGTTAGTCTTACCACCTTAGAAAATTTGGAAGTGTCAAACAGCTGTTATTGGAAGTTGTAAGCCAATGGTAAACTCAGTGTGGCAAAGTTATTTTTATAGGATTTGAGAAAAGTTATAGAATATTTTCACTAAGCTGAGACACTGAAGCATACAAGGATTCAGTTTTAGAAAAAAGCTTTTGTTTATGTGTTTATTATTAGCTGCATATAATTGAAGATAGATTATCAAAAATTATATTGTTTATTCTTTAGTGAAATTGTAAGGGAAGTGGTTTCAGGTGCAGTGCTGGAGATTCCAGAGTTTCATCTTACTGATAATTTCAGAAAATGCTTTTTTTACAACAGTAGCTAATAAAATATTATTTTATTTGCACGTGTTGGAATTTTTATTATTGTTTTTTAATTATTAATCCTTTTTAGATTGTCAAGCTGTCTTTGGAAGTGTTACGTTCTATGATGGTCTGGGCAATTACAAATGCTGTACATGGATATGTTGTTGCCTAATGTAATTGCTTGAATTTTTTTAACTACTGGCCTAATTCAGTATAGGATACAGTTTTTTGAAGACGGAAAAAATGCTGAATGAACACAGACTTGTTTGGGTTTTTTAAATCCTTCATGCTTTGTTTTGCAATCTAAATCACTATTTTTGTGGAGGAGGGTGAAGGGGTTATGTTGTTAGTCATACATCTTGATCAACCCTCAACTCTTACTGTGCTGCTACTTAACTGAGTCCCACCCCCCAGTCATTTAAATAGTTTTGAATTTCCCCATCTCTTTCCTTTCTCAAACACCGGAGGGTGATAACTGAGAGTTGCAAAGCCCCTGTTACTTAGGAGTACAAATGTAACATTGTTCTTGGAGAATTTTTCCCATTATATTTTTTTACAAGTTCTTTTCCTGAAACACTTGTGTCCTTCCTTGCTGCTGCTCATGTTTAATGAGGCGTGCTCATGAAATTGGAGGCCAGAAAGGGCCAGTCTGACATCTTTATCACAGGCTGTTAATTTATACATTTATCTATATAAGTAGCCCAAAGCTTGCGTTTGGGAAAAACATGCAGTTGTTGTGCTATCCTGTGAGATGACAGGGCTGATTTAGTGGTTAACTTTTGCTGAAATTCGCTTATTCTGACCCTTGTCTGAGATTATTTGTTTCTTGACACTTGCAGAAAACTTTCCACTTTATCTTTATTATTATTATTTTATTTTCCTCATTTGGTGAGTTGAATTTATTCAGTGAGGGGAATGTTGAGGAAGGGGAGGAAGTGGGTCTTTCTCTTGTGAGAGCAGTGAACTCTTAGATTATATTAACCCTATTTCTTAGAATTGTGGTTTTGGAAAGACCTTTGTGTCTTGATACTACTTCCAAAGGCAACTCACCCTCACTATCACAGATGTGTACTTTCATTCTAGTTTACTTTAGTGAGCTTTGTGTGGTATCAGATTGCAATCATTCATTTTTATCTTTTTCTCAGCTAGCCTAAAATCTTCCACTATCTGGGGTTTTTTTTGGTTTTTTTAATAGTTAGATCTGGTAATTCTGGTCCTTCTTCTTTCCGTTAGATAACTCAGATTTGGTTGTTTTAAAAGAAGGTTGAGATAGGTTCACTTTACTGTGTAGGCTTTTTTTTGGTTGTGCTTTGTTTATTCAAAAAGTTACCAATGGTGATTTTTCTTCTAATTTATCAGTGAAAATATTGAATGACACTGAATATTTTAATGGGATTTGAACAGCATTCTGTGAAACACTTTTGTTTCTGTTACGAACTTCATTTATGTGCTAGTACTAATTTTTTTGACTGTCAAGTAATAAGCCAAAGCTTTTAAAAATCTACAATACGTATGTAATTACTTCTGTTGACCAAATGTGTAATCTTTTTAAAAAAAAAAAGAAAAATCACATTGAGGATGTTTTTTAGTAATGTGTTGAATAGCCCTAACTATGTTTAGGTAATTTTTCACTTTCTTTCCCATTCCTTTTTGGTCTGAATTTCTTACTACCTGAATTTGCTTTTTGTCTTTGAATGCTGCTGTAGCATGCTCTTGCCATCTTTTGGAATTTCTCTAGTACAGTTTCATTAAAAGCTGTCAGCAGTGGACCATAGTGCTGGGAAATATTTTCAAACCTTTTGGTGCATTTGTCAAGATTACTGGCAGCTGAAGAGATTAGTGACTTTTCACTGCTTCAGTTTTGGCTCTAAATTCTTCTCCAACTATTTCTGTTACGTAGAGTTTTCTGTCACTGAAATAAAGGCCTTAAATTCTAGACAGTTTGCTCTTTGGCATGTATGATATGTCTTATGTCCCAATTTTTGTTTAATATTGCAGTGACCACAAAAGAATTGCTATTTGTTAATGTTCAGTCATTCCTGGAACTGTTTGCTATCAGAAACTATGGACGAATACTGTGTACTCATGGTAACGTCCTGTTTAGGACTGATTTGGAATATCATCTGTTCTTGCCCACAAGATTTTTTATTTTCCCTTTGCATTATCTATACAGTAGCGAGCTCTGAAAGACATGTATCCATCTGCAAAAACAACTCTTAGCACTGATTTATGTCTTGGAATTGCCTCCTCATTTTCAAGTATTTCCAATGTAATCCTAAGGAACTCTTATACGTATTCCTATTCTGTTCACATAGCCCATTCTCACTTTGGGATATTTAATTTTTATGTAATAGCAAAGAGGTTTTTTGGGTTTGGGGTTTTTTAAGTTGTGCAGGTAGAAATAGTCTCATATTCTTGAATTACAGCTCATTTCAAAACACTGGCATTGCATTTTAGTATTAAAGACATGCATGTTCTAATACAGGCATTTGTCAATAATAAGTGTTTGTGACAGAAGGGGAACCTGTCACTAGATAGTTCTTTCTCTGAAGGAAGAATGAGATTAAGCAGTTGTCCTAAAGCTTATCTAATCTGGACTGCAGTTCTTTGTACTGCATCTTATTAATGGGACAGATGCGATGTGATGGCAGAAGTTTTGTAAGCCAGGTATTTCTATGCTTCCTGAATTCTTAGCCACACTTGTAAAGACGGTGAAATATGAGTTTGATTTTTTTGTCATCCTACAAATGTCTGTTTGACCATACCCTCAACTTGAGGAGCAGGGAATAAAGTATTTATGAAAGGTGTAGGCCTAAGTGGCTCCCAGGCCAGCTGGCCTCCCCGTGCCTCCTTGCTGAAGTGTGCCACATGGTGTCCTGTAGACTGTCTTGCCCACAGGACGTTCATTTCTGTCTCGCTTCTTCCCTGGGGAGGTGGGAAACAGCAGTTTGGACAATATGCCCAAATGGCCTTGAAGTGAAGAATCTGGAGTGGGGACCTAGCTAACTATTTTAAATGCCAGCACTTTGTCTAGGTTTCTGTGCTGTGTTACAGTTAGGGGGATATGGAAAGGAGAGTGTATGGAAATGAAATGACTGTGCAGCAGTAGTCTTATTTAATATGTATAGTCTATTGTTTAATTTAAAATACATATCCTTTTCAACTCACTGAATGCCAGGCTAAAAGAAAACCTAAAAGAAAAGACTGAGCGTTTTCCTCAAGTTAGTTTTTTCAGGTATATACCCTATATGGTGTTTGTTTCTGTTTTCTGAAGTTCAACTTATACTTGTTAATGTTTTCCAGTGAACTTGATGATGACTTGCTTGGAGAGGATTTGCTAACTGGCAAAAAGGTAAGAGATGTGCATTGAAGTGATATGTTACAGATACTAAAATGTGACTGTTGTTTAGCTTGCCCACTTCAGCTGTTTGGTATGGCCTCTTACATATTTTACAGCCACCTCCCCAAAGCCTGACTGCCACAGGAACCTGAGGTCTGCCCCCTGTTGCCAGAGCGCTCTGCACCCAGAACTCTGTTTCCTTTTGTGAATTACCTCGTGGCTTTTTAAAATAAGACTTCGAGAAAAAAATATTTTTTTTTTTTCTGGGATAGTATTTTTTTCTTATAACACATGGTTCAAAAAGGAGATGGTTTTCAAAATCAGTTTATCTGTACCTCATATTGACGTAACAATTAAAAAATTCCAATTATGTTCCCTGAGTGCTGATTAGCATTCTGGAGAATTCACTTCAGCTACCGGTTTCCTGGCTATTAAGAGTTACCCATCAAAATACTACCAGAGAGTAAATAAAAAAATCACTGTGTTGTCTATTAAAGACCCACTCACTGCTCACAATCCACTACTACTTTGTCTAATGAGTAGGCAGAGGATTTCCCTTTCTACAGTGAGGGAAGAATATGGGAGCAGCTAGCATTGGAGAACCTAAACAAGTTCTTCCACGTCTGCTCTAGACTCCTCACTCTGGTACCTATTTCCAAAACTGAACTCTATGTAAAGAACTAAATGTATTTTTGGATTTGCCAGATATCTGCAGGAGAAGACAGGGCTTCTGTTTGGGAAATCAAAAGTGGTTAGTCACCTCTTTCTCCACTTCATCTGCTAAATGAATTACGTTAGAAAATAGTTCTTAAAGTTTTACTTGGAGATGAATAGGTTTGTTAAGAAACCCAGATCTGATAAAAGTTGAGTTTTAATTGATACAGTTTTTTATAATTATGCTCTGAATGTTGGAAGTTATCTTCTTGAGATTATTCTGTAAGTAATCGCTATTAAAGGTTGGAAGTTCCTTTGTCCCATATACTGGTTTAAGAAGTAAAATTCCAGGAGGATAGGGATTGCAGATGTGTGTTACACATTTATCAAAAACATAAGCAGTTAACATTACATACATCTTTATCAACTCACATTTCAACTACAAAGGTACTTATTTATCTTTTAAAAAAAAATCAGTATAAATACTAACCAATACTAGATATCTCCAATGTATTATTATGTATTCTTGTGCTTTTTCTATTCTTGTTTTCAGTTTGCCACATTACAGGGCTCTGAGCAGTTTCTGGGCATGGACTCATATGGTGGAGTAATAATAGATTTCTAAGGAAGTTTTCCCTGACGTATTTAGGCTAAACTTGCTTCTACTTAATCTCATCCCAGTACTTTCAGATAAATCTACCCTTGTATAACCTTTCTGCCCCTATAACTTCAGAGGATGGAAATAATGTTGCTGAGAAAAACTTCAGGTATCTCTTCCTAGCGGGTAGTTATTAAAAAAAAAAAAAAAAATCCAAAACCAACTGAAAGCATGATAGACAACGTAGAAGGAGTTCAGAAAAGGCACGATATTTTTGTCTATTTTCTTCACTTACAAACTAAGTATGTTTTTAAAATGTTCTTCATATCATCATATCCTTTATTCCAGTCTCCTAAGTATGTCTGCTTTCTAGAAAACTGCAGTACCTTTGTGGTTTTTCTTGACTTGCCAGAGCACTAAAGCTAACCTTTTTTCTTCTTGGTATTAAGTGAGTTGTAGTCTTTGGCTATATTTGGGAATGTGTCAGTGAAAAGTGTTGATAGCTAGGCAAATTTGATTTCTGTAAATTTCCATAAGACTGTCAAACATTTATTTTCAAATTTGTTGTCTTCTATAGTGTGTTTTTTTTCATTGAATTAGTTTCATTGAAGATACGGTCTTAGTCTGGGATGCATTCTTCATTTAAAATACTTTTGTGTTCAGAAGTTTCAAGTTTCGGTACCTAGTTAGTTAAAAGTTTATGTCCGTTTATATTCATGATTGACTTTTTCTGAAACCTAGAATCAGTCAGACTTGTCAGATGAAGAGCTGAATGATGATCTTCTGCAAAGTGACAATGAAGAGGAACAAGAATTTCGGTATATCTTTTCTAAGTCTTGTGTTTTGAATAACTCTAAGCTATTAATGACTACTACTACTGATAACCAGTAAACTACTAAACTGAAGTTACTGGTACATACTTAAAATAGTTTTCCTTTTTACCTAGCCAGCTAATTAATAATGTATATATAATGTGTTCAGTAGCTTTGTTAGCATTTCAGTAAAATTATTTTTTCTTTATTTGAATCTAATAAATTTAACTCAAATATATAAAAAAGCTTATAAAAAAGAAACTGTATCATCTCCTGTACATTTAGAATTATTTATAAATACTTACAGAGCTCTTGTTCTGTGCCGCCTTGGTATTGTTGCAGGCTTCCTTCTCCTGTGAAGTCCTTTTCTGCCATCTTTCTTTTAAAAATAAATCTTAACTCCTAAGACCCTGAGGAGGGGAGTGTTGTAGTTTGTAAGGCTTGATTTGTGGCTTAAATATGTGTATACAATTACACAGCAGAAAATTTCGTACAGAGTTTATAGGGATGAGCAGGTACTTCCATGGGAGTTGGCTGAGGATCCTGCCCTGTGAATCCCCTGTGGTGATCCAGCTCCACAACTGAATTATGGGCATTACAAGTCAAAATTAGTGTCTTGACACCTTTAATTTTTCAGCTGGACTGAACGGGGTGGGAGCATGCTTGTGATGCAGTACTGATGCTGCTTTTAGTGGCCTGTGTGTTTTGCTATCTTTTCCTTTACTTGTTGCACGCTATGCAGGCATGTCATCTGAAGGGGTATCAATATATATATATAAGTGTATAACATATATACGTACATCGCACTGAGATCTCCATTCTGTCCTTGCCTGGAATTAGGATAAGGGGTCCTGTCCCTGTGTTGGATTGATAAGGGTGTAGTGAAATACCTCAGACCATCAATCTCACCATTGTCCGCTGTTTTCCTCCCTGCAGGAGTGAGGATTGGACTGTTCCCTTCAAAACGGGAAATCCCAGTTACAATCCTTGCTGTTTCTTTCTCTGGGCTTCCTGCTTGGAGCCCTGGACAGCAGGGGTGGCTATGTGGCTGCACAAGTGATGAGGAGAGATCTAAAGCATGATAATATTGCTCAGTGGAAGCAGGTTTCTGTAGACAAGTCTTGCATTTTTAGCAGTATTATTGCTAGGGAGAGTGTTGCTCCGTTTCTTTCCCCTCTTCCCCTTTCCATTCAATGTCACTTATGCCTCTATAGTTCGGAGGATAATGATAATCCAGCATAATGTCTTGGGTTTTGTGTTAAATCTTCTCAGTCTGATAGATGCAAATAGCTCAAAGCTGCCCGGATCTTGTTCCCCCAAACCTATGAAAATAGTGAATAATAGGAATGTAATAAAAGTAAAAAATTCTTATACCTGGAGCCCTTAAATCAAGAAGAGATTTCCCCCCCACGCCGCTTTTCTAACTAGTTTGCAGTTGGTTAGTCGCTCTTCTCACGTATTGATGACACTAGCTATTGTAAACGATAAAGTAAATTTTGAGTTTTGCTTTTCCTCCAGATGATAAACTTGCCAGTGTTTTATTGATCTTTTTTTTCAGTGTCTGTGCCACTACTAAGTTTGAATAAATATCAGGCATTTAAATGACAGTTCTTGACTATATATTTTACATTATTTTAAGTAGAACATTAAATCTGTCATAAAAATGTAAGATTGAATTCAAGATAATCAAGAAGGAACAATATTAATGCATTTAATAAAACATAATTTACTAGCTTTTTCTGAAAGATTGGGAAAACAGTTGCAGTTATAGTCATTTTGTGTGTTTTTTTGATAGTCTTTGAGTTAGAATTGAATCCAGTCTGCTTTGGTTACCAAGCAGGACCTTTTGCCAGTTTGACCTGCTACACCATCTGGTTGGTTTGATTCCCCTGGTCAAATAGCCTGCAGCTGGTGATAAGCTGCAGTACAGTATGCATTATGGAAATATGGCATGGAATCAAACAGTGTGTGAGGTATAATTTTGTCCACCAACTTAGAGAATTTGTATGTGTTGGCTTTGTTTTGCTGAATCTTTGTGTGTAGTTGACTGTTACGCTTCAACCTCTCATATTTTTCCCCCCATACCATAGTTCTCAAGGTGTCACAGTTAGCCTCAATGCTACATCTGGCATACTTACATCATACGAACTCTCTGAGACCATCAACGATCAATCGATAGAACATGAGTCTGAGTATGACCAAGGGGAAGATGAAATTGTTTATGACAAATCTGAAGCACCTGAAGTATATGCTTCAGATTATGCAGAGGAAGGACATTATGAAGGTAATGATCCTGAATTGACAGAAGACCAAATAGAATATGGGGAAGAGCCTGGAGAAGAAGATGAAGTGCTAGACCTTGAAATCAATGAACCCCTAGATGAATTTCCAGTGAGTTTCTTTCTATTGTATCTTCAAAGATAACATTGCTTCACGTGCATAGGGTTTTAGACCGATTTGAAATCTGTTTACCTCCCTAGGGAGGAGGGGAAATTAGACCTATTATCACTGTCTGCCAGTTTCTTTATCTAGGCTGTGACAAAGTTTGTGTTGACAGCTTGTTTGGCGGTAGGTAATGCTCCTTTGTCATGCTGGAAGGCAGTTGAGAATCATGACCTTGAGGATTGTATCCTTAAGGAAGAAAACAGCTTTGTGTGGTGGAGATACACCGCCAATTGTTAGAAGTACTTAATGCAAAAGCTTTTATCCAGGCTTTAGACAAGATCTGATAGAGTCCTTCGAAGGTGAAAAGATTATTGACCTGCTAAAGACATCTTTAAGGTGCTAATATCCCAAAGTGATTGATGTCCTGCTCGTTCATCCTTTTTGTAACTGAGAACTGTCTAAACCTGAATAAAGAGATTGGAGGTTAGTTCAGAAAATGTCACCTGCATAATTCAATATAATTTAAGCAGTGTATTAGAGAACATGCATTGGCTTTAATTGCTATTGAAATGATTTAATCTTAATTAAAACTGTGTTATCAATGAGGTGTTTTAAAATACAAGCAAACTTACTTAGGAAAGATTTTGCTCTTGTGTTTTGTTCATAATTGCTCAGAATTGAACCTGTTCATGTGTAAGCACTTGCAGAGTGTTTTAATAATGTTTATATTTTTGATGGAGTAAAATCTGATGTTAATGTTTCTGTGGTACATGTTTCGTTTGGCAAGAAAGTACTGCAGTGTTTGCTTCATGATTTTGTAGTCAAAGGATGTAGAAATACAGAAGTAGATGGGGCAAACAGTAGATGGGATCTTTATGATGACGTTACTGGGATCTGAATGAAAACTGTTCTGGTTATGGTTTTGATAATGTTGAAATTATTGTCTAGGTAAAAGCACTGCTAATTATACCTTATATGATATGTCAGTTACAGTTGACAGTTCTGATAGATACAATATTTCTCTTCCAGTTCTGGAAACAGTAACAATGCTTACACACCCCATCTCTTAACGGGTTTGTGATTCTGTAACGTTGGTCTATGTCTTTTCACCTTCTTGTGTTACTGCCTTAGGATGAAGATTACATGCAATCATATAATGAGCAAGCAATGGAAGAACAAGAAGAATATACAGCTGATGAGGAGCTGGAAGAATCCCAGACAATAACAAATGAATCAGAAGAGGTATGTTATGAATTTAATGGAAACTTAAAATAACTAGTTGTTTCAGAAATTGGATTTGTAGAATTGCCCATATTGCTGGGTAAGAACTGATGCAACTTTGCCAGTGTTTGCCAGTTATTGGTGGTATTACTGCTGGTATAAGATGTGTTGTGATAGCATCTGTATTGTTAGTTACACCAGATCCCCTCTGCCCCTTGGGATGAAAATCATTAAGGGAGAGCTCAAAATGTCCATATTTAATCTTAGCTTCAACATTAGAAACTTCAGGGACCTTTTTGGGTAGGAGAATGATAGTAATACTGCATGCTGCCTGTTAAATCTCTAACAGCTATGGTGCCTCACTTTCCAGATGGATAATTTGCTGCTGTTGGGAGTGTGGATACAGTTCTCCGGTATCCCACTTTGAGGAGGAGTGTGAGCATGGAAAGTTCTGTATGTTAGAAAGGTCACATTGTTTGTGGTTTTGAAAGAACTTGTATTGGGACTGAAATTTTTGTGAAGTTTATCTTAATTCTTCGATTAGGAAAAAGGATGAGTTCCTTAATTTGCAAAAAGAAAGCTTATGCCAAAAACTCTCAAGTATACATGCACTGGTTATAGCCTGGAACAGTGTTATCATAACTGTTACTAATTTGCAAGTTTTTGATGTGGGATTTTTTTCCTTTCCCCACCAGGTATCTGCTTTAATATTACTTTTATTCCAGTTCTTAATTAAATAGGATTGAATGGATTGCCTGCTGAGAAGTGTAGTCAGAGTGTGTTCCCTCTTTGGAGCTGTAACTCATCAGGAAATCAATTCCTCAAAGACACAGCAGTGTTCTATGAAGTTCTAACAAACGGGTGTGCTGTGATACTCTCTAGTTGTATTAAACTTATTATAATAAAACAACCTTCTTTGGTGAGTGAAGAGAGATGCATTGAAAGGGGCCACCTGCATTGTTCAGTCTTTGCTGTTGCAAGTGTGACATCTTAGACCAAATATACCTTAAATGTAGTTAACTTGTTGTTTCCTAAGTATTAAATCTACCCTTCCAAAGAACTGTGAAACAGTTCAACACTTTTCGTTCATTCACTGGATTATGTACACTTTCCTTCTGCTATTTTAAAAGCAGCCTGATGCAGTTGTGCTATCTGTAGCCACAGTGTGTTTGAGATGAAAGCACCGCACATCATGTAAAATTAAGTACCTAGTTGGGTTTTACTGTCAAACTTACCACAGCTTCATTTTTAGAGTATGAACTAGTGAGAATTCTGTAATAATCATGTTGTCTAAAATTGTCCAGTTCAGAATTACATTCCTTTCATTCCAAAGATAACACTAATGCAAGTTTTTAATTGATTTTTGTTAATAGAGCTTCTAGAGAATTTGTTCATCATGTAAAGTGAACATTTTGGCCACATCTTTATTCAGTTAATCTTCATTCTGGATTTATTCTGATGGCTTGCAGATTGCCGCAGGTTTCTTGTTTCCAAAATAGTACCATCTTTTTATTCCTTTATTATGTCATATAATAGCTTATTTACATTTGTTTGTAGGCTCACAATTGTACTCTAGAAATGAGAATTCCACTGAGAGAGAACCTTTGTAGAATATGCACTTCTATTTATTACATGGTTAGATGCATGCCTCCAGCTCTGTATAGTTTTGTTCTTTATTGAAGTGTTATATTTAAATCTCATAATATTCACTGCTTGTAAACAAGGGTAATTGTTGGCATTCTCCTGTAGAAAATGCAACACAATAATGGAGCTGTAATAGATGTGGTACAAATAAATATCATTATTTCTTGATTGAAAGTTGGTGTCTGCATAACAGAGTGAGCTGATAGAGAAAAGTGTGTGGTAGTGTTGTATTTTAAACAGTTTCCATATTAAAACAAAAGTAAAGCCTCTTACATTGCATGAACAACGTTTTGTAAGCCAAGAGGAAAGCTGACTGGGGAATTGGAACATGATGGAGGAGACTGGTGAATAAGGGAAGTGAGACCTGGCACTCATGGGAGATGTGAGGAAGGGCAGGAAGTTTGTGTTCTTGGCCAGATCAGGTTCAAGGCATGCTTTTTCACTTGATATTTAATTTAAAATGGTGCTTAGCACTTGCATTTTGAATAAATAACACTCTTTGTGGAACTTCCTTCAAAAATGTAGCAGTGCTTCAGAAAATATTTTTGCCTTCCTAAGGCACAAAGCAAAACCCAATACCCAGAAGTTTCAGCAGCAAATGGGTGTGGGAAAACTGTCAGTTGTACAAGTTGTTACAGAATCATAGGATAGTTTGGGTTGGAAGGCACCTTAAAAGGCCCTCTAGTCCAAACCCCCTGCAGTGAGCAGGGACATGTTCAACTACATCAGCTTGCTCAGAGCCCCATCCAGTGTGACCTTGCATGTTTCCAGGGATGGGGCATCTACCACCTCTCTGGGCAACCTGTGACAGTGCTTCATCTTCCTTGCTGTAAAAAATTTCTTCCTTAGATCTAGTCTTAATCGTGTGACCTTGCATGTTTCCAGGGATGGGGCATCTACCACCTCTCTGGGCAACCTGTGACAGTGCTTCATCTTCCTTGCTGTAAAAAATTTCTTCCTTAGATCTAGTCTTAATCTGCCCTCTTTTAGTTTAAAACCCTTACCCCTTGTCCTATCACTACAGGCTCTGCTAAAAAATTTGCCCCACCTGTCTTACAAGCCCCCTTTAAGTACTGGCAGGCTGCAAGAAGGTGTCCCCGGAGCCTTCTCTTCTCCAGGCTGAACAACCCCAACTCTCTCAGCCTGTCCTCACAGCAGAGCTGTTCCATCCCTCTGATCATTTTGGTGGCACTCCTGTGGACCTGTTGGAGGGGATCCAGGTCTTTCCTGTGCAGAGGGCTCCAAGGCTGGACACAGGACTCCAGGTGGATTCTCACCAGAGTGGAGCAGAGGGGCAGAATCACTTCCCTTGACCTGCTGGCCATGCTTCTTGTGATGTAGCCCAGGATATGGTTGGCCTTCTGGGCTGCAAGTACACATTGCTGGCTCCTGTCCAGCTTTTCATCCACCAGTACCCCCAAGCCTTTCTCGGCAGGAGAACATTGACATCTGTAGCTCTTCCCTTGTCCACTGATGTGGTCTGTCGTCACTCCATCATAGACGGCTACTAGATTGGTCAGGCAGGACTTCGCTTGGTGAAGCCATGCTGGCTGTCTTGAATCACCTCCCTGTCCTCCATCTGCCGTAGCATAGCTTGTAGGAGGATCTGTTCCATGATCTTGCTGGGCACAGAGGTGAGGCTGATGGGTCGGTAGTTCCCAGGGTCCTCCTTGCTACCTTTTTTAAAAATGGGTGCGGTGTTTCCCGTTTTCCAGTCACCGAGGACTTCACCTTACTGATAAGACTTTTGAGATATGGTGGAGAGTGGCTTGGCAACTACATCATTCAATTCTCTCTGGACTCTGGGATGCATCTTGTAGGTCCCATAGACTTGTGTATGTTCAGGTTCCTCATGGTCTCCAACCTGACCTTCTCTTACAGTGGGAGGGACTTTGCTCCTCCAGTCCCTCTCTTGCAGTCTGTTCCCTCTAGAGGTGTGGGAAGAGAGGTTGCCAGTGAAGACTGAGGCAAAGAAGCCACTGAGTACCTCAGCCTTCTCTTCATCCATCTGCCAGTCTTTCTCATTGTGGGGGGGATACGCTTTCTTTCACCTTCCTTTTCTGGCTGACATCCCTGTAGAAGCCCTTCTTGTTATTCTTTGCATGCCTTGACAAGTTCAGCTCCAGCTGCGCCTTGACCCTCCTGACTTCTTACCTACACACCTGGGCAGTGTCCCTGTACTTTTCCCAGCATCCCTGTCCGTGCTTCCATTCCCTGTGGATTTGTCCAGCAGGTCTCCACTCAGCTGTGCTGGTCTTTTGCCTTCCTTCCCTGATTTCTTACACCTGGGGATCAAGAGCTCTTGTGCTCTATGGAAAGCTTCCTTAAAGATCTGCCAGCTCTCTTCTGCTCCTTTGTCCTCAAGGGCATTTTCCCAGGGGGTCCTATTGACTAACTCCCTCAAGAGCTGGAAGTTTGCTTTCATGTCCTAAATATTTTTAGAGCAATAATACCACTAATTATGTCTACAAAATGTTCATAAAAATGTGACCTTTTAAAACTAGAAATCATAATTTCTTTGTTTTATATTGGAACTGATGTCTTGTGAACTTTATGATGGGGGTTTCTTATTGCATAAATTTAAACCATGTCTTGGGTTATGCTGATAAGAAATGATGAGGACTTTAATAAAGAAAACATTCGTGAGGAAGTGCTGCATACTGCTTTTCTTTTGATAGAATACAGACTTGGAAACAAAAGGCCAAGGTCTCTGTCTGTTGAATTGTTCCATCTGTGTTTAGCCAGAACGTAGGCATTTTAGTTCTTTTGTTCAAGTTTGAAGATATTACCCGTCAGCCTGGGGGAAAATGATGAAAACAGTGCAAATCAAAACAGCCAAGTTTTAAACATATTTGGAAGGTCTTAGGTTTGTTTTTTATTCCCATTTTTCATCTGTGGAGGTGCCCTTGGAATAGGTATAACATCCTCTTACCTGCTCTCTGTTACTTCTTGATCCCTTAGGATTGAGCAATTGCTGCTGCTTCAGTGTTAGCCTCTTGTAGAAGTCTCCACTGCTGATTTTCTAGCTAGTTAATAAAAGTTCTTTGTTTCACCTTTGTAACGTTTCAGGTGGAAGGAACCTGGTCTAGCCTGTTTTGTACATTTTAGCAATCTCTGTCACAAAGCTCTCCAGGACACTTGACAATCCTATGTTTAGGAGGATCCTGTGTGAAGATCAGCATTTATCATGCTGACTAGTGTTTTCTCCTGCTTTCCTTGGGTTATGTCTGTTATCAGTCCTGCAACTGCCTGGTGAGCTGTTCAGGGCAGGAGCATTCACTCTTGCTCCATTGCAGATCCTAACGCAGCATGGGGAGTTCTGGTCAGTGACTGGGATTTATGGCATAATTATTTAATGAGGATGGCAGAAAACTCTGACCTTGTGACAGAAGAAAGGTCATTATTTTTCTTTGTAAGGAAGAGTCAGCAAAGTTCTTTGGTGGCTTTGTGCAAGGTGTCATAATGGGAAATGTTAAGCTCCCTTTGAGGAGAGCTGCTAAGAAGTCTTGGCTGGCTAGTCCAGTCAAGTGACTTCAAGTGGCTGTTCAAGGACTGTTTATGTATATGCAGAGATATTCATGATTAGCAAGTATTAAACAGAATCCTCTAAGTACAAGTATGTATTAATTCTGTGCTTGCAGTTGTGTCTTTTCCTGGATAAATTTCTTCAGAAACACAGAATTGATTCACATACTGTAATCTTGGCAGAACAACTCATCCTCTTAGGCTGGAAGTTGGAAAAGACGATCTAAAGTCTTGCATGCTACAACTATTGAACAAATTGCAGGGGAAAGGGTGTATGCTCCAACCCAGCTCGGATAACCTTTCCTGGAGCTACACGTAGAGCACATATGGTTAGCTGTCAGGCAGGTTTGTGTCTCCATTGCAGCTAATAAAAATCTCTCAATACTACGTGTAACCAAACTTGGACATGGGTCAGTTAGCATTCTCAAACACTGCCTTTCCTTGGCTGCTTTTTCATTAGCTCCTTTGATTTCTTTGTCTCTAATATTTAACATTTGTATGGTGGTTGTTTGTTAGTAGGTGGCATAAGTGTTACACTGATCAATAAAGTGAGTTAGACCCAGAAGACTACAGAATTGGTACAAGGGCATAAGAATGTAGTAGTGCTGGACTGGAAAAGTTTGAGAAATGTTTTTTGTTGTTGCACAGGAAAGTAGTTGTCTTGTAGTCTGTTACAACTTGCGCTTTTTTTTTTTTAATTGGATATGTCTTTTTTTCCAGAATGAATAATTATCAAAAGGTAGGAGAGTTTCCACAGTTATTTTCTGTAGCATTTCATTAAAGCGTTGCAGAAGTTTTCAGGACAATGCAGACTGCATTAACCATTCTAGTCTTGATTCTGTAGTCTGAGCCACATGTAGAGCCTTGCACAAGTTTTGCACTTACAAATGAGATTACATGGCTCAGACCAGTCTTCAGTGCATAAAAACTGGAATTCCAGTGTAGCTTTTAAGGGGGTTGGACATAGTGAGTGGATGTGTCTGGGATTTATTCTCTAAAGTAAAGCAGGAGGCTCAGTGTAGTGAGAGTATGTCCTGCAAAACAGCCGCTCCAGTTCTGACTTCCAAATCCTGATCATGAAGGGAAAGTTTTTAAAGAGAAGCATTGGAACAGTAAAATTATGGCATTTATGATAATCAAAAACATAGAATTGACAGAGATGTTGCTACTCTTTTCTCCTTTGGGAGTCCCTCTCTCGAAAGTAAAATGCAAACCCTGTCTTTCTACCTTGTTTTTGTTTGTTTTTATTAAAGCATGTTAGTGTCTCTTTCATTGTTCTAACATCCCTCCTCTGTTCCATGAGTCTCAACTGCCTGTCCTCAGAGGTGCTTTGATTATACATGGATATGTTAATCAGACCAGTTGTGCTCAATTTGGGTTTGCTTTTGGGGTTTGGATTTCTTTCAGTCTTCAGGGTTGTTTTTTTGCCTGCTATCCTGTCTGTTATTTTTAGCTGCATTTTTTGATATGATAAAGTTGTTACATTTTAAATATATATTTATTTTATATAAGCCTTAAAGCTTTTAGTAAACTTTGACTATCCACTTAGCTATATTTTCAAGCATTTTTGTGAGATCAGGAAATGTAGTGCTTGTGTGTTTGTGTGGAATGGATAAAACACATTCCAAAATAAGGAGATGATAAAATGAAAAGAACTTGGGATCAGTAGCCCACTAAACCCCAGTAACTAAGTATACAGATCATTGATTCACCAGACCAAAGTTGGAGTAGCTTTGAGCTTGAGTTCATATGATTGCTGTCTTTTAAAGTAGAAATGGTCGTGCCAGGTTCTGTCTCTGATCTTGCTTCCCACGTTTCTTTTTAGTTTTGGATGACGTTCGGATAAGGAAATTTGCAATCTCTTGTACCATTCTGCCATTAATTCTTTTTCTCGATTTGTGACTTAGTATCTGTCCACCTGACTGACAGACTTGCTGTGCCTTTTTGGTGCAGTAATTCATACGAATCTGGTTAATTAGAAGACTAAACCATTTTTTGCATGTTATATTTAACTCCTTTTTTTAACTATCCTCAAGCAACATAAAAGTTATGATGTATTTATTGGCTTTGCCAAGAATTAAAATGCATGTGTAGGCTCTAAGAAATGAGCAAGTAGGCTTGTACAAGAAATAACCAAATATACAGTAACCAAATATTTTATGGAAAATCATACTATATTATAAGACTTCTAATTTTCAACTCTAGAAATCAAATATAACTTGTGTAACATTCTGAACATTAATTTTTATCATGCCCGTACAGGAAAATGAAATTGATTTTTTTCTCTTTTTTTAATTTGAAGGAGAGGGACCCATTTTCATTTGGGACATTGTTTCATCTAAATAAATGTTCTCGGTTGTAGAGAGAACTGCAAAGTAAATGAGGGCAAGGGAGTAGCATTCCAATTCCAATATACATATTTAGTATATTCAATTTTTATCCAATGCTCTTCTCCATTGTCTTCATCAATTGCTGAATTAAAACTGGGAAATATTAATGGAGTGGAAAAAGTAAAGACAAGTACAGTTATACATACCTAGAGGAATAAAATTGGAATGTAAGATTATCTGGTTTAGTTGTGTGTTTTTTTTTTTTTTAACAACATGATGCTGACAGTTGTTAACAAATGGGAAAAAAATTAAGGATTTAATGTTTGTATTGCAAACCTGGGATGCTACCAAATTCAATTATCTGGGTCAACTCAGTGATAAAATGTTGCTCTGTGTGCAAAAGTAGCCACTAATCAGATGGTGGTTCTATCTGGAATTTCCCTATTCCCTTAAATATTGCAGCAAAATGGGTTTTCTCAGTAGATTTTACTATATAATTTATTATATATTTCGTATCCTTGTGTTTGTAAAAAGTTCACCAAGCTCTTAAATTTCACTGAATTATGTATGAGAATAATGTATAATGCTAGCAAAATCTGTACAAAAAAAAACTTTGTCTTGACACCGATCACAAGAAAATAGGTTTTTCAGTTTGCATGTCCTCTGTATTTTGTGATTCAGGCAGCTATTGAATCTCTGGAACTTCAAGAAGAAACAAAAGAAGAATCTGATGAAGAGGAGGATGATGACGAAGAGTCTGGACGATTACGTTTCAAAACTGAACGGAAAGAAGGAACAATAATTAGGCTCTCAGATGTGACAAGAGAAAGGAGAAACATTCCAGAAACTTTGGGTGAGGTTTTGTGGCAGTGGACTATTCTGAAGAGCTATAATAAAACAAACTAAAAGATAGGCTTGCCATAACTTTTAGAAAAGAGTTTAATGGCAAAAGATGGAACAGTTGCCTTCTGACTTAGACTGGCCTATACCCAAGTTGTCCAAAGTAATTTGTCATCTGTTGTAGTATGTGTAGTGTCTGTCTCATTGGGAATGTTTAGGCATACCATGTTTTTCAAAACAGCACAATGTTTGTTCATTGAGACTTTGGTGTTTTTTTAAAAGCTTTCCTGTTTTCAAGCAGCAAGTGTCTGATCTGTGCTTCGCTATGTATTGTGGTGGAATACATTTTAAGGAATTCCTTTGAACTTTCATCCTTGGAAGATTTTAATTTGATAACACAAACCTTGTTACTCATGTTCTGCTGTGAAATATCTGCATGTTTGCTGTTTTTCCCCAGGAACATAAGCGTGCTGGGAACCTGTTGCATTCCTACTGTTAGATTGGCCTAAAGAAGTTGTGACTTGCTGGGGAGTGTGTTAGAAAAATACAGAAACCCCTGTTTTCTGGGTTCAGCTTTTCTAATGTGGAACAATCTGCATCTCTTATACCACTGCGATTCTTTAGGCAGTATCTAAAAGGGTGTCTTTCTTTGTATCTGAGTAGCATAACACAAGTGTTGTTTCTAGGAACGCTGCTCCATGTAGCTAATGAATTTGCCACTGCTAGTTCAGAAGCAGCAGTAGATTTGCAACTTTCTTGCAGCTGCTCTGTTCTAGTCTATAAATAAAATCATTGATTTATGGTTTTGAGAGTTAACTTCAAGACCCCTGAAGTGCCCTGGGTATTTAGGTGTCTGATACTGGTGTTGTACCTGCCCCACTGGGGAAAACTATATTGCCTTTTCATATTGGCCTTACGGTGGTGGTAATAATAAATAATAACGATAAAAAGTAAATTAAAAAGGTGATATTAGGGAGATGGGCAGAAATTTTTTGCTTTCAGAAAGGTGTACCATTCTCGTAGTTTTGCTACTGAACCAAAATATTAATTCCAACTATGGAGAAAAAGCCCTGATCTCTTGAAGAGAGTCAAGATATAAAAGAGTGGTGAACTGGTTGTGAAGGCAAATTGTCAGATACTGTTGGCTAATTGTCACATACCACTGGAAGATGATGTATGTTTTGATCATACTTCAAGTTTTGCCAGATGGATTCCTTACACAGGAGTGTTTTAATATGGGCGCCAAGCGTGAGCTTGGAAGCTGGGTGCTTCTGCTTTCTTTCCAGATGAATTAGTGTTTTTGGGACAACAGGGCATTTTGGAATTACGTTCCCAGAGCACATACATAGATTTCCAGAACTCATCCTGATGAATTTTTCCTCCTACTTTAAAAGCCTTTGTTTGCAAGGTTAATTTGGTTGCCAGGAATTTGGACTTCTACTATGCCTGCAAGAATTGAGAAGCCTTAATTCTGTAACAGAGGTCTTGTGGCTAAGAGGAGTTGTTCATGAGCCTCAAGGAGTCAGCTTCAGAGGCTGAAGCAGACTTTCACAGTGGTATTCATGTAGGCCATGTCATCCTGCGAGACAGACATCAGTGCATGATTTTTGAATCAAGATATTTCTCATCTGTTGTTCATCTTTAGCAAATAGGTCTTCTTACATGCAATTTCAGGCAAAGTGTGTATTAAGGCCCTTTATTCAGCATTATTTTAATAATCATTAATTGATTCTGATTAGAATAAGACTAAAGGGAACCTTCTAGAGGCACAGAATAGTCTATTTGGGCAAGAGATATTTTAGCTGAGGTGCATTCCAAATGTGTTTTCAACCATAAGACTATATTTCTACAACCACATACAGACCATATCTTATTTATACAAAAGGTGCTGGTGGCTTTACGGAACAGAGTATTTTAAAAACAAGAGTTCTTTGGAATAGCTAAATCTCTCTGCACATAATTGGAAGATAAATGACAATGGCATGCATTTTCGTATATCTGGATTTACTCTGTAGTTTAATGTGAAGATGAGACCAGCCAATGAGGAGAAAACCTGTAGTGCAACTTGACTGCTAAAGGAACAGTGATTCAAATTAGACTTATTTTTAGGTGTAATTTTATGTGATTTGGGATGTAGCTCTGAGACATAAGGAAAAGTGGATAGAAATGTGAATAAATCTATCAACTACAAAGCTTTTTTGAAACTAATATTTGGCAAAAGTACAATCTTGCTGTTGTGAAATGCTTTCTTTTCATACTAGTTTTTAATGTTAATTTATTGATAGAGACCAAATGATTGACCATGTGGTGGAAAGTTAAATAGAAGAAAAAAAATACTTGTGTGCATATACATATCTGCTTGCTTTTGAGATTGTAGAGCTAATTTTTACAAATGCTACTGGTTTAGAAATGAAACTTCATTGCAGAGCTACATCTCCTTACTTTAAAATCTGAACAGAGTTGAGAAAACACTTAAAGAGGAATTAACATTTCAGTTGAAGTTACAAACGTAATTTCCATCCTGTCACATTTTGGTGACCTTTTGTGACAGCTTGTCTCTATTGGAGGAGTGCATTCTTACTTGCTGATTAAAGATGTCATTTGAAACCATTTTATTACCAGTGATAGTGAAATTAATCTTGACACTTAGAGACACCAGAAAAATAATTGCTGATTCACTGCATTAACTGTGTGTGTGAGGACTGTACAGTGAAGATGAGAATAAGTGTGTGCTGGTAAAAAAAAAAAGTGTAAAAAATCGAGTATTCTTATGAACGTAGCTGACATCTTTCCTAAACATTTATCCAAGCTAATGTAAGTAGTGGTTTTGAAAAGTTTAAAGGAGAGGTATTGTAGGACAACACTTGATTTCTAGAGATACTGAGTTTGTCATCTTTGAGAAATATTTAACTTCTTCCGGTGCATGTAGTTGAAGTCTTCCCGGAGTTGGATTTGTCATTATGCTCTGGATTTAATTACTTGTTAAGGAATGTAGAGAAGAATAATGACCTTCTTTGGCATCACCAAACTAAAGTATTCCCTATGTACCTAATTTAAAAAAATGAAACAAAACCATACACTTACGCAAAGCAATGACAAAGGATGTTGGATATGGTAGTACTTTTTGTTATGTCCTGATTAGTTGGTTTATGTTCACTCTGATAACTAGTGGCTGAGATTTTGGGCAGGACTAGGAAATTAAAACGTGTGGTTTCACTGTTGTTCTGTTACAACTGTGTGCAGAATCACATAGTGTAATCAGGTTGCAAGTCTGCATGATGGAGTGAAAAGAAGTGAAAGTAGAACATTTGCTCTCTCTCTCAATTTAGATTTGAAGATGTAGCCACAGAGACCCGTGCTCAGGGCTGGTGTGGGCAGGAGCTGGTGGCTGCGTGCTGCAGCAAACTGCACGCACTGTCCAGGTGGCACGGTGGCATCCAGCCTGGCTCAGCGCACAAGCTCTTGGCCAGGGAGAAGCAGTGGGCCTTTTCATGGCCCACACGTGGCTGTGCTTTGGAAGAATCTAGGGAGGGACAGAGGATCTGTTTTTTCTCTGTTCATTGCCTTTTTTCTAGTTAGCTGTCTGATCTTGTTTTCAGGGAAGACGGGGTCTATTTTCTTTGCTCCCCTCCCTGCAAAACCATCTTCTGCACTATCTCGTCTCCTTGATATCTGTATGTGTGGTACAGTGCTCTCAAATTCAATAAACAGCTGTCGTGTTTAATTGTTGGCTGGGGTTAAACCATCACGCAGCTTCTGGCTCACTCCCCCCTGGTGGGATGGGAGAGAGAATTGGAAGGGTAAAAGTGAGAAAACTCGTGGGTTGAGATAAAGGCAGTTTAATAGGTAAAGCAAAAGCCGTGCACGCAAGCAAAGCAAAACAAGGAATTCATTCACTTCCCATGGGCAGGCAGGTGTTCAGCCATCTTCAGGAAAGCAGGGCTCCGTCCTGCATAATGCCCCTCACTCCTTCCTTCCTTCTTCCCTCACCTTTATATACTGAACATGACGTCATATGGTATGGAATACCCCTTTGGCCAGCCTGGGTCAGCTGTCCCGGCTGTGTCCCCTCCCAGCTTCCCCGTGTACCTTCTGCCTTCTTGCTGCCAGGCGAGAGCATGGGAAGCTGAAAAGTCCTTGACTGCTTAGCAACAACTAAAAACATCCGTGTTATCAACATTATTTTCATTCCAAATCCAAAGCATAGCCTCACACTAGCTTCTATGAAGAAAATTAACTCTATCCCAGCTGAAACCAGGACAACAACCCACCTAATTGAGCTGACTGTATATTTTGTGTGCTGACTGATGGCATTATAAAGCATGTGAGGTACTCATGAGTTTAGTTTGCTGCATGACTTCACTTCTGCAGTCTGTTTCTGAGGCTTTGAACTTGCAGTTTTGTGTGTAAGCGAAGTTCGTCACAGGTAGGACACTGTTGCCTTCACTGGCATGTTGTGGGGGAAGTATGCTCGATGTTAATGTAATCTTAACGTTCTTTTTTTTCTTTATATCAGATGGTTATATTGTACTTCTGTGTTCATAGAGGTGGTATGAATGTAATGATGCTTGCTGTGGTCAATTCATAGGGGTGTTTATTTTGGGATATTTTTTCCGAGGTCAGTGTTACACACATTTTTACTTTTTTGGCTGCGAAACTGTTCCTTTAAGGACACAGCCTTTAATGTTTGAGAACTATGTAAAGTGAGTAGGAAAGCAATTTATTAGTTTTCATTTTAAAGAGAGTGAAAAGTACCTGCACATCGAAGATCATCAGGACTGACTTTGCCTTGGATGTTGTCATCCCTTCCCCAAGCTTCATCAGCACAGCCCTCTGAGGTCATTTTGTTTGGAGCAGCTCATTCTTTTTTCTTCAGTGTTTCTATTCAATTTCCTTTGATATGTGCTCAAGAGGCCAAGAGACTCAGACATGATCTTGTCTTGTAGGAAGCCTAGCTCTCTTCACAGGTTCATTAAGAATTGCTTTCCTCACATGTGACTTCTAATCTGTTTA